TTATTAATCCTGTATATAAACCTTAAGTTGGAAAAGGAATAAACTTATTTACATTTGCGTAGATCTTTATTCAACAAATGCGTTCTTCACATGCAAATCGTGTTTGGTTTTTCTTCAAATGCTGAAAGTGTGAAATTTATATAAAAGGTGGGGAAAATACTAAAACTCAATACCACAGCTTTGCCTAATTTCATCTTATGTTAAACAATGCGTCTAAAAAGTTATGTTAATGTTGGACAACTTGATGGGTTATTATAGATGTTCACGCGTATATCATTTAAATATTATTTTCGTGCCCCTCAAGTATAGAGTTCATATTTTTCAATCAAAATCTCATATGTGCACGATTATATTAAATAGGAGACAGTTAGAATTGAACTCATAACATTTATCTGGTTTGTTATCATGTTGACACACTTAATTTATCAAAGAGAGTCACACTTATATCATTTAAATATCGTTATTCAACAGATGGTAAATTTATTTATTTATGCAGGTATATTCAAATTGTTGGGGAATCTGATCCTCACTTTCAGGGTCCCCTAGCTTTTGGGACCGAAAGGTAGAGACAGAAAAAGGAAACAAAAGAAATGGGGCCATTTTCTTATCTTAAACTCAATTTGCATATATATACATACATAATGTTGTAAGCAAATGTGGCTGGGGGTAGGTTTACATATTGCGAAGGGAACAAAACTTATAATTATACGTGTACAAAATGAAAAGGTGTTACGTAGCCTCGTATACCTAGAGGAGGTGGCGTAGAATCTTGTCATTCATCGTCTTAGTGGACACCACTCTTTTACACACACATATATCAATATATTATGTATGCATACATGCGCGTGAATCCGCCTAACAAATTGACACATTACTAGTTAGAGGAAAAGAAAAACGAAAGTTAACGTCAAGTGAAATGAAAGTAGTCTAATCATAGAAACGGCGTGATGCAAGAGAAATACAAAAACGCGATATTGCTAGACGGAGTAGCACAATTATTGTAGCTTAGATGGAGAAAATTCAATGGTCAAAAGTATCGCAATCTTACCCTCTTACTTGAGTGGCACGGGACATGTAGAGTTTTGTGTTAATCACCAAATACTATCTTGATAGGCTAAATGCTCTTGATGATTGAGAACAAATTAGTAATGAGGGAAGCAATTTTATCCAGGTCCCAATAGATAAGACAACTTAGTGGATTGAAACATGCTAGCACCTAGGAAAGAGAAAGGGCAAGCAAACGAAATGGAGTAGCTTAACCTAGAAAATGATATGGTTGACGAGCGCTACAAGTGTCGTGCTGCTAGCAAGGAGCACGAGATGTCGCGCCCTATGATATGGTTGACGAGCGCTACGAGTGTCGCAAGATGATGCATCCTATTTATGAAGGCCGATTACTTGGAAATCTTAAATACGCTCTAACTCGATTAGCATAGGTGAAATTCCGTGTGAATTAGCAAAGACCACTTTAAAAGAATGCTTGTGATGACTAATAACAAAATAGTGTCGGGAAAGAAGCATTCATACTAAACTCCCATTACAATCATGAGAGCCCGCATGAATCGTATCCATCCTTCCATTCTAATCACCTTTTTGTATTAATTTTAACAAGTTGCCAAGGAATAGAACTACGACCCACATGTCTCATATGTGTATTGTTTTCTTGTGTGCAATTATATGATAGAAAAATTCATGCATATCACCTTCTCAAAGAAATATCAATCAATTAATTAGCAGGTGCAATTGGTGTAATGCTATGAATATTTTCCAAGCCACACGTTACCGTGACAAAAAATGCTATAATGCTATAAAATCACATGAAAAATGAATGTTGGCTAAGCTTATAACGTTTATATTTATAAAAAAAATAAGTTTAGAGATAAATTATTGGTTAATATTAGGAATAAGTAACTTAATTTAAATAAATACAACCCCAACATTATTTATTGTTTACGTGAATCACTTCTTCCCAATAATATAAATTAGTCGCGACAAAAAGTAACACCGCGAAATAATTGAGTGCAAAAAATAGTAAACATCAAAAGGGTGATCTTCGATAGATTCATATGCGGGTTTAACAACATTATATTCAAATCTAAACAATCACATAAAACCAGAAACCATTACAGAGGTCCTGAACAAAAAGACTTGGAAGTGAAAAATTTATAACCACACAGACTAGAGATATAAGATCAGATAAAAACCTGTGTTTCCCCATCATCAACTCAGCATAAGTAACTGGATAAAGTTCTATGCCTGCAAAATGGATCGGACTTAAAAAAACTGCGCAGCTAATAAAGTAATATAATGGAGAGCAATTTGTAGCAAGTCATATTTGTTTCTACGAAAGTAGATGATGAACTAATGTGAGGTGCTACTTGCCTTGTTAGCAATGTTGTTAGAGAGCCAATCTAGCCCCTCGTATAGCCCCTCTCCGGAGGTAGCACAGGTGCTCTGGATGTACCTTGGGAGAGGGAGAGAGAGAGAGAAGGTTCAATAGAACATTTAAAAGAGTCAATAAGTACGAACCATCAAATGACCAAGATTAAGAATGTACCAGTGACGCTGCCTCAACGAGTGCAGGCCGAGCTTATCAGTTATTTCAGCAGCATTCATTGCATTAGGAAGATCTTGTTTGTTGGCAAACACAAGTAATACTGCATCTCTTAGCTCGTCCTGAAGCAACCAATAAAATCCAGCCAACAGGTCAACATGACATTGTAACCTCAAGAATATAACCACCTAGAACATCTATCGGCTTAAATGAAACAGCACTTGAAAAAAGTGACTCAGGATCATCTGATTACAGCCTCACCAAAGGTTCAAGTGTAAGGATATCCTTCCCTGATTTCCCACTCCCTTTAGGACCAATCCAATTATTACTTGGGTAAAGAAACTTCTAATCCTAGTAAAAGAGACAGAATTTGATTCAACATATTCATGACAAACTGGTTGTACTCTTTTTGTACAGAATTAACTTATCTATGTCGTTTGCAGATAAAAAAAAAATGAAATTCCACACGGAAACCCTTGTCTAAATTGAATGATTCTGGCATGTGCACATATAAAATTTAAACAAAATCAATTTATTTTATGGGCTCTCATTTTCGAACTCGTCTTAATTCACTAAATCAACACAAATGAACAACTAGGCTATTATAAAGGTTGAACCCCAACCTTGAGAGCCTCGCCCCTAGAGCATTGTGGAGGAGGTAAAAAGCAGAATGTGCCTCAGCAGACCAAGATACAAAAGCTGTCATACTTAATGACGCACGATGCTGTAATGATCCAAGTCTTTATACCCAAGCCGTTAGTTTGCGTACTGTCCGCTTTGAGAAAGCATAGGCCCATCTTACCCTTCACCGCTTTCTGACACGTCCCCCGGGGTTCGAACCCAAACATCCATCATATGGAAGACTTAAATCGAATCCTAGTATCAAAATAGTATAGTACTAGGATTTAACTTAAGTATCCTATATGATGGAGATCTTGAGTTCGAATTTTAGGGGACGCGTTAGAAAACGTGAAAGGTAAGATGGACCCAGACCCTCTTAAGTCTCCCATATGATGGAGGTCTTGGGTTCGAATCCTGATGGACGCGTCAGAAAGCGTGAGGGCTAAGATGGGCCCAGACCCTCCCAAAGCGGACAGTGTGTATGATATGATAACGGCTCCGACGCGAGGTCGAGTCGTTACATATGCAATAGGAGAATTGTAGGAGAATGGGGAAAGGGAAGAGAAGAGAAGAAAGAAGTGGGAAAGAGAGAAGAAGATGGAGAGAGGAAGAGAGAAATTGGAGGAAAAATATCAATTATTTCATTATCAAAGGTTGCTCTAATTACATTGCATAGACCCTTTTATATAGGGTTTCCAAGACCCTATATAAAGTAAGAAAATACTATGAAAGGTAATAAATCAAACAGTAATAATGTTTCCTAAAATACACATTAAAATTGAAAAAACTAACAATGATAATATTCTTTCTAATTCTCCATCACTTAATTAGTCAAATACCTTTTACTTTGTACTGTTTCTTTGGGTTAACTATAAAACTTTTAATTGTAGGGCATGAATCATTTATTATAAGTCAAAATGCATAAATGGAAGTTTTTTGCTAACTTCAGTCTCTTTCAGTATTGTATACACCTTGTGAACAATTTATCTTGTCATTATTAATTCCCCCCAGATATTTAACAAGATAACTTATGTTTTTCACTCCTATTTCCAACAAATTCTTCATGTCTTAGAAGTTAAAGTCATCAGTAAAGTAGGAAACATAACCTCATTCAACATCCTATGCAATTCATCTCTTGCCTCCACCACACGGTCTCTGTCATTGCTATCCACCACAAATATGAGACCTTGTGTGTTTTGGAAGTAGTGCCTCCATAATGGACGGATCTGTGGAAGGAAGTGGATAAATTGATTAATCATTGCATGAGAATTTAATTACGTTACAGGAATCTTTCTACTGTGTTATGGATGACATGAAACACCACAAGAAGCAGAAAGTTTCATCATGTCAATTCTCAAATACAATTTATTGAACTTCATTATAGATACATAAACCATAGATGATCAATCATGGGACAAAGTGAGAATGAAAATTCTACCTTGTCCTGACCACCAACATCCCAAACAGTGAAGCTGATGTTCTTGTACTCGACAGTTTCCACATTGAAACCTGCAGAGCATTAGTAAAGCCCCCCAGAAAGTAAATATTAGATAGTAGCATTCAATTTGACATAAATAAAAGAAAAATTGATCAATTTCAGTTTAACAAGTATTTGACATATCAAAGCCAAGGTCAACGTAATTAAAAGAAATAGAGATATTAAGTTTGCGTAATTAAGAGGCCATACCAATGGTTGGAATGGTAGTAACGATCTCTCCAAGCTTGAGCTTGTACAGGATGGTGGTCTTACCAGCTGCATCGAGACCAACCATCAGAATGCGCATCTCCTTCTTGGCAAAAAGCCGACTGAACAACTTTGTGAATGTCAACCCCATTTCTCTTTCTTCCTTTTAACCCCTATACATAATCAGGGATTGAAGTGAATTATAAGTATATAAAAGACGTACATTTACTTATGTGATTTCCAGTCATTACATCAAATACATGGGGCCATAATCAACAGCATTGTAGTCCATGCTTTTGATGTCGATGTCGGAAATTGGTTTAAAAAGAGAAGAAAAATGGTTTAAGTATGAAACCATAAAGATGTCAACTTCAGCCAAATATTCTTGCTGATCTAATGGTCAAATTATGAAAATAAATAGACTAACTTGATTTACTCGTCGAGTAGATAATCGTAGTATATTTGGAATCTAAAAAACAATTTTAAATGAATAAGAAATTGTGATCCAAAGTCAGACTCTCTACTTTTGGCGCTCGAGCAGCGCACGGGTGACGAGGCGAACGACAGGAAAGGCTGCGACCCTTTGCAAAGGTTGCTAAATTTTGGGGCGTCTCTTCACTCAAAACCTCTCCACTATAAATAAAACCATTTGGATGTCTTTTAACCCTTCCAAATCATATGCAATCATAGCATAATATAAAAATCATATTTCCTTAACCAAAATTATGTATAAAAATCTGTTTTTCATTTCATTTGAAAGGAGTACAAAAGCCATATTTTGGTTCGTTGTTCTTATGTTTTAGAGTACTACAAACATGAGAAGGTAGTCATTGTATCTTAGAAGTTGATTGCCATCATTCGTAGGCAACGTTGCGGAACAAAATCGACTTAAGGACAAAGAATTTATCTCTTACCTCGACTTTACATTCACCTTCTTGGTTTTGCTTTGTCCAATTTTATTGGTGTTTAACTTCCATTCTTTGTTGGTGCATTACTAAATTTATTGACATTACTCTATCCAATATTTGGTGAAGTTGATAAGTTTGATTTATTAAAGTAACCACTCAAATCCATTTTACAAACAACAATCTTAAGTCGATTTTTCGTTTGAGGGATAGCTTTATATATATATTTGATTTCTATTCGATTAAACTGATTTCGTTTCGGTAATTTTTCTACTCCTTAGATCTTTATTTTTGTCGATTTATCTTCTGTTTTGTGTAAACAGAAATGAATATGGTCAACAATACCGATACTTCTTCAAATGATACTTCGAATATAAGAATTTCGAAAGGAATTGTTCCTAACTTGGTTTCTACCGTTGTGATTCCACTAGTTGCGATTGTCCCTCCTACCTTCATACAAACTTTGTTTCACGTGGAGAGAAATCGGAGAAGTTTAGAGATTGATTTCAAGAGATGGCAACAAAAAATTTTGTTCTATCTCACAACCCTAAACTTTGCGAAATTCTAGAATGAAGATGCTCTCACAGTACAAGAAGAGGAAAATAATAAGGTATTGAATGCTGGAAACATTCAAATTTACTATGCACGAATTACATACGGAATGAATTGGACAACATATTGTATGCGTATAGTTCCAAGAAGTTTGTAAAGGAACTATAGGAAATTCTTGGAGAAGAAATATAAGACTGAAGACACTGGAACTAAGAAGTTCATCGTGGAAAAATTCTTAGACTACAAAATGGTAGATTAAAAAACGGTCATCAGTCAAGTATAAAAATTGCAAGTTATTCTCCATGACATTCACGTCGAGAACATGTCTCCAAGTGAATCATTTCAAGTGGCTGCAATCATTGAGAAACTTCCACTCATATGGAAAGATTTCTAGAATTATCTTAAACATAAGCGCAAGGAGATGAATATAGAACAATTCACCGTCCGATTAATAATTAAAGATAATCGAAAGTAGAAAAAACATGTTGAGAGTCATATACCACAAGTTAAGACTAATTTAATAGAATCAAATAACAAGAAGAGAAAGCATTCTGTCGAAACCTCCAAGAAGAACATAAAGAAGTTCAAAGACAATTGCTATAATTGTGGAAAGGCCAAACATTGCTCTATTAATTGTCGTAGACCTAAGAAGCAAATCCAAGCAAATATCGTCGAATCTGATGCAATATCTAATGGTATATCAAATATAAACTTGTCGATCGTTATTTCAGAATGCAACAACGTTAGAAATCCAATGAAATGGTGGGTGGATACAAGTGCTGCCCATCATATTTGTCTCGACAAAGAAATGTTCTCATCCTACATTCCAATCGATGGTGAAAAATTGTTCATGGGAAACCCTTTGAGTTCAAAGGTTGAAGGACAAGGCAAAGTAATTTTGAAAATGACATCGAGCAAGGACCTTGGCCTTAACAACATTCTTTGTGTGCTAGATATTTACAAGAACTTAATGTCAGGTTTTCCGTTAAGCAATATTTGTATCTGATAAGTTTATACTTACCAAGTATAATATGTACGTAGGTAAAGGTTACGTAAAAGATGGACTATTCAAGATAAATGTCCTTACCATTGTGTCGAATAACTCAAGAAATAAAATATCTTCTTCTGCTTATATTCTTGAGTCGTCTAATTCATGTTATCATATATTAGGACATGCAAACTTTAATTTTATACGCAAGTTAATGAATTTAAGTTTACTACCAATTATACATTTTAAAGCAAATGGAAAATCGAGATTTGTGCAGAAAATGATCTAATGACATTTAATTAAGCAATGTCCTCTCCTAAAACTCTTTTTTGGAAAGAAGTGGTTGATAATGAAACTGAATCCATTATGTATGACTATACTTAGGAATTGGTTGAACTCCCTTCAGGAAATAAAGCTTTAGACTGCAAATGAATTTTCAAAAAGAAATTTAAGTCGGATGGATCAATAGACAAGTATAGGGCTAAATTAGTAGCCAAAGGGTAGAAACAAAAGAAATGACTAGATTTCTTCAATACCAATTCACCTGTTACAAGAATACGTATGTTGATTGCAATCGTGGCATTGCATAATCTTGAAACACATTGAATGGATGTTAAGACTGCATTTCTAAATTGTGAATTAGAAGAAGAAATATATATGAAACAATCTAAAGGATTTATTGTTCCAGCAAATGAAAAAGTACGTAAACTTGTAAAATCGTTATATGGATTAAAACAAGCATTGAAGAAATGGTACGAAAATTTTGACAAAACTATGTTTTTCAAATGACTTCAAAATTATTAAATTGAAAAATGTGTTTACATCAAAAACATACTTAAACGAATACGTGATCCTATGTCTATATGTTGATATGCTAATCATAGAAAATAACCCAATCGTTAATACCATAACTAAGATAAAATATTTTGACATGAAAGATATGGGAGTAGCTGGCATTATATTAGAGATTAAAATCTTTAAGACGCTGAACGATTTGTCATTGTCTAAATCACATTATATTAAGGCTATACTTAAGAAGTTTAAGGCGTATAACGATAAACCAGTCAATACACTAGTAGACTTAAGTTTACACTCAACTAAAAATGTTGGTGATCCCTATCTCAATTGAATTATTCACGCGTTATAGGCAACTTAATGTATGTCACCAACTACACACGTCCGCATATAGAATATGCAATCAACAAATTAAGTAAATTTACAAGTAATGACATTGGAAGGCATTAAACCGAGTTGTAAAATACTTAATACACACGGTTGATTATGGATCACACTACTCAAGATATCTGACACAAATGATTTGAAGTCTACGAGTGGTTATGTGTTTACCGTTAGAGGTGGAGCTGTGTCCTTGGAAATTATCTAAGCAGATCTGTATAACTCGATCCACGATGAAATCTGAGTTTGATGCCTTAGATAAAATCGGAGAAGTAGAATAACTTCATAATTTTCTCGACGATATTCCATGTTGGGAAAAGCCAGTAACTACAAGTAATATACATTGATATAATCAATCAGCAATTGTATTGGCACAAAATAATATGTATATACCATTTAGAATTGTATAAGCAGCGAGATATAATACCATTAAACAATTGATATTGAATGATATAATCTCGATTAACTATGTTAAATCGAAGGAAAACATAACAGATCCTTTGACGAAAGGACTACCAAGAGATCAAGTATATTATCTTTCGAGTGAAATAGGCTTGAAGCTTATCGAATAGAATCACCATACGGGAAATCTTGATTTCAATGGGACAATTAAAGTCTGGAAGATTCAGAATAAAGCACTTATTCCCATTCCTATAGACTTAAAGTGCTAGAATAAAAGTGTATAAGGATAAGTATATATTTTAATGATTACTATATCTTGGAAGTAGCTTAGAAATATATGACACGATACTATAGGAGATCATCTATGTAAGTGAAAAATGAGATTGCTTCTACGAGAATTTAAGGCTTAAAATTCTCTTAAAACACTTATTAAACCAAGAGTTATTCAGGGTCAAAATGAACAAAACCATGAGAACCGAAATGGTTAGATGAGTCATGGTGTTGATACAGTTGTTTCGATTTACACGAACAGTTGAATGGTTTAAAACATCGTGTTCACCAATCAACCTAGTAAATTCGATTGTATTCGACTAAGAAATGTTCAAAACCACAAGCTAGCTATCCTATGCTTAGCTTATCGTATATACTCTTTTTTTGTTAGAGTCTGCACATCATTTACATATTGTGGAATTTCCATTCATATGGAGGATTGTAGGAAAATGGTTTAGTATGAAACCATAAAGTGTGAAAATTGACTTTCATGTGAACTTGACCAAATATTCGGACTTAATCTGATAGTCAAATTATGAAAATAAATAGACTAATTTGATCAACTCATCGAGTAGATGATTGTAGTATATTTGAAATTTAAAAATCACTTCCAGATGAATGAGATATTATGGTCCAAAATTTAGAGGAAAAAATCGAATTTTCAGCACTTGAAATTGTTGCTCGAGAGACAGCCCAGCGCCGGCAAGTGATTGACTCTCTGCTTTTGACGCTTGAGCGACGCACAGGCTAGTGACAGCAAAAGCTGTGACCCTTGGCAAATGTAACTGAGTTTTAGGGTGTGTCTCTTCCCTCACAACCTCTCCTCCTCCATAAATAAGACCATTTGAACGTCCTATAACTCATCCAAATCATATGCAATCATAGTTACGGTAATCAATAGATTGGATTTTTATCCGAATCTGACGAAATTAATGGGAGATGGATTGTGGTCTCAGTCCGATAACCCGATTAAGATCCGAATCCGATAATCCGTTAACTAAATGGATCAAATATGGATATAGGTCAATCCGATCCGATAACAATCCGATCCGATTTGTTATAAATAATTGAGTCGGTAAAATATTTTTATGGCATATTATTTATGGTAAATCTTAACATATTCGTCGAAGATATAACACCATTAAACAATTGATATTGAATGATATAATCTCGATTAACTATGTTAAATCGAAAGAAAACATAACAGATCCTTTGACGAAAGGACTACCAAGAGATCAAGTATATTATCTTTCGAGTGAAATAGGCTTGAAGCTTATCTAATAGAATCACCATAGCGGAAATCTTGATTTCAATGGGACCATTAAAGTATGGAAGATTCAGAATAAAGCACTTATTCCCATTCCTATAGACTTAAAGTGCTAGAATAAAAGCGTATAAGGATAAGTATATATTTTAATGATTACTATATCTTGGAAGTAGCTTAGAAATATATGACACGATACTATAGGAGATCATCTATGTAAGTGAAAAATGAGGTTGCTTCTACGAGAATTTAAGGCTTAAAATTCTCTTAAAACACTTATTAAACCAAGAGTTATTCAGGGTCAAAATGAACAAAACCATGAGAACCGAAGTGGTTTGACGAGTCATGGTGTTGTTACAGTTGTTTCGATTTACACGAACAGTTGAATGGTTTAAGACATCGTGTTCACCAATCAGCCTAGTAAATTCGATTGTATTCGACTAGGAAATGTTCAAAGCCACAAGCCAGCTATCCTATGCTTAGCTTATCATATATACTCTTTTTTGTTAGAGTGTGCACATCATTTACATATTGTGGAATTTCCATTCATATGGAGGATTGTAGGAAAATGGTTTAAAAAGATTAGTAAAATAGTTTAGTATGAAACCATAAAGTGTGAAAATTGACTTTCATGTGAACTTCGACCAAATATTCGGACTTGATCTGATAGTCAAATTATGAAAATAAATAGATTGATTTGATCAACTCGTCGAGTAGATGATTGTAGTATATTTGAAATTTAAAAATCACTTCCGGATGAATGAGATATTATGGTCCAAAATTTAGAGGAAAAAATCGAATTTTTTGAAATTGTTGCTCGAGAGACAGCCCAGCGCTGGCGAGCGATTGACTCTCTGCTTTTGACGCTTGAGCGACGCACAGGCTAGTGACAGCAAAAGCTGTGACCTTTGGCAAATGTAGCTGAGTTTTAGGGTGTGTCTCTTCACTCACAACCTCTCCTTCTCTATAAATAAGACCATTTGAGCGTCCTATAACTCATCCAAATCATATGCAATCATAGTTAGGGTAATCAATAGATTGGATTTTGATCCGAATCTGACGAAATTAATGGGAGATGGATTTGTGGTCTCAGTCCGATAACCTGATTAAGATCCGAATCCGATAATCCATTAACTAAATGGATCAAATATGGATATAGGTCAATCCGATCCGATTTGTTATAAATAATTAAGTCGGTAAAATATTTTTATGCTATATTATTTGTCACTAAAATAAATAAATTTAAAATAAAAAAGTAATCAAATTCAAAATATAAAAAAGTTGAAATTTTTTTAATTATTAAGCCTGTTTAAGAATTAAAAATTTTGAAGAAAAAAAAGTTGATTTCAAACAATGTTTTAAAAAGAGACCTTGGCATCGACCTGGAAAAGGAAGAGGGTTAAAGGTCAAAAATTCGAATCGGGATCAAACCAGTTGTCAAATTGAATAAATAAGTATACACATAAATGTAAAATCACTATTGGGCTTGCTAGTAAAAACAAGTGAGCTTAAGTTAGTTCAAAATTTTTTAAAGAACATTGATTTTTTTCTAATTTTTATTAATTTCGGATCGGATATCCGATAACATAGCAAATCGGATATGGATTTAATAATCAAATATCCGTTGGATTATCGGATCGGATCGGATAGTTTTCTTATCGGATCGGATATAGGCCGATCTTGGATTTAATAATCAAATATCCATTGGATTATCGGATCGGATTGGATAATTTTCTTATCGGATCGGATATAGGCAGATCCGATTCACTTACAACCCTAATCATAGTATAACACAAAAATCATATTTCCTTAGCCAAAATTCTACATAAAAATCTTCTATTTTTTCATTTCATTTGAAAGGAGTACAAAGCCATCTTTTGGTTTGTTGTTCTTGTGTTTTGGAATGCTACAAAAAAATAAAGTAATAGTTGTATCTTAAAAGTTGATTGTCATCGTCCGTAGGTATCGTTACGGGGCAAAAATCGACATAAGGACAAAGAGTTCAACTCTTGCCTCGAGTTTGCATCTACTCTCTTGGTGTTACTTTGTCCAATTTCATGGGTATTTAACTTTCACTCTTTGTTGGTGATTTAATAAATTCCCTACCGTTACTTTATTCATTTTTTTGTAAGGTTGTTAAGTTTGATTTATTAAAGTAATCACACAGATCCATTTTACAACCAACAGTCTACATATTTTCCATCACCCCCAAAATTTAAACAAAAACAATTCACATATGATTTTAAAATACATACAACATACCTGAAGAAATTTTATCAGATCAAACGGATCAAAGATGAAAACTGTATAATCAACTCAAAATATAGACGCCTAGCACAATTTTCATAAAAAAAAAATTAAAATTGAATTTTCGATTCTCAAAAACACTTTTTAATCAAACAGGTACACACAAGTACATAAAAATTTGAAATTTCCACCGAATCGAAAAAGTTCGAATGCTAAATCTTGAGATCAGATCATTAAAAGAAAAACGTAACAATACTCAATTACTCGTATCCTTGGTTCCGCAAAATTAACTCAAATAGTCAAAAGCTGCTTTCTTTATGAAATCATTTCCAATACAAAGTACAAACAAAAAAACATTCAGAAAAAAAAATGTCAAAAAAAAAAACCTATACCAGCGATCAGAATTCAAATCTAAAAACAAATATTAAATAAATACCAAGTATACCTAAAAAATTAGTTCTGACGCGCAGTTAGAGAGATTCGGAGCTGCCTGAGATTAACGCCAGAGATTTATAATTATTTTTGAAGGATGAAAATTAATCAACTTGGGGACATTTATATAGTGGAATTAGATCCTTGGTTATTTATTTTAGTTCATTTTGGTCCTTCAACTTCAATTTTTACTATGTCATTGAACTTATAGTTTTCTCAATTTGACAATTTCGTCTTCAGTCGTTATCAAAATGAATGACTAACCTGACTTCGATGAATTAATTCTACACTTTTCCTTACATTAAGGAAATATATTTTTGTGCAATCTACATTCTCCTTTTAATTAGTTTTCTTCACAATTAAAGACGGAATAATAAAATTGAAACAAGAGTATAAGGAAGGAGATAAGAGTGAAACAAATCAAAGTTCAGCGACCAACAAAGAAATTGTACCTTTCGAATTAGTGACTAAGCCCCTGTTGACAACCATTAAAGCGGAAAAATTATGCTTTGAATAGTGATTTTTAGTAAAATATGTGGTTAGATAGTCAGAAGATTTTTGAATTTAAATGTGTGATTGAAAATGTGTATTTTGAAAAAAAAAAAAATAGTTTAAAAATAATGGTTGTCAAACAATAGCTAAATGTCCCTTCATGGGTTCTCCAGGATCTCTCTCTTTTATGTAGGCTGGATCTCTCTCTTTTATGTAAGCTGGTGAAGCTAGATTTCGACACGTTATTCGATTAAAACAATTATAATTTTTTCATTATAAGTTATTAAAAATCTGTTTGGCAGGACTTTCAAAAAAATCAACCATTGCATATAAGACTATGTTCAGATAATTTTCTGAAGGTTTTGTCCAGCATGAAGAATTTTTAAAAGAAATTGATTTAAAATAATTTCCTCAAAAAAACAGTAAAAAAACCTGTCAAATGAGCCTTAAACAAAGCAAGGTTTGGAAGTGAGACAATTTTTGGGAAGTACTGGCCAAGATTTTGTTCTTTAACATGACGTTATTCTATTGACCTTAGCCCATCAATTCCATCTGTTACCATTATGTCTTAACAAAGCGAACCGGGCATCCAGAGCCGCCGAAAGCACGTTGCTGGGCACGGCCATGGGGAAAAATCGACAACAATAAATTAGCCCATTCACCTTGCGAGGGGCCTATGACCGGAGGGCAACCTGAAAAATGTGGTACCCGACTCCCAGTCTAGTCTGGGGGCTCTGGAGGCCTGGATAACAGATAGCATCATTAACCAATAGACATTGATCCAACTATAATTTTACAAACACGAGCTTTGATTCAACAGAATATCAATGATCTGAAAGCTATACAATAAACATCCACGAACAGACCAAGCCAGGAGCTTTTCAACTATACAGATCAGAAAATTAAAATTATCATCTCTACATAGTTTGACATCATTCTGATAAGCACGATGGAGGGCCCTCCCCAACTTATGAGCCCTGATGATCCAGGATACGATGTCCAGTGAAACCTTTACTTTGAGATAATTATCTATGTTCTGAAGAATAAAGGGTGGGTACATGTTCAGCTGAATTGTATGCACCTAGTAGAATGTCTCAAGTCTGATTAGCGCCAATACTGAGCCCACCGATGAATGGTTTCCACCATTTGTGGAAATAATGCGCTGACACTCTCGTTGATAAGATCCTGGAAAAAATGTATTGACTCCTCATCGTCCAAGTCCAACCGGAACTTTTCTTGAAGCTATAGAAGGAAAGTTGGGTCACAGAATAAATAAAAGTAAATTATGGCATAAAATGGAATTAGACAAGTAACTAAGACGAGAAATCACCTTAAGAATGCCTTTTTCAGGATCAGAAGCTATATCGGGAATGTTGGACCCCGCCATCAAATGAAACAGATTTAGTACTAGGTTGCTCGATTTCCTGAGGATGTTGTATGCTTCACAACAGTATGATTTGAACCGTGTATAGTATTGACTGCAAGAGAAAACAGAAGAAAAAGGAAACATTATGTCTACCGGGCTACCAGCCACGTCATGCATATTTACCCCCACAACACTAACACAGCTAATTAACAATGAAAGCACCGTAAGAGATCGTATATGAAGCACCGTAAGAGCTCATGCAACCTTTTGCAGATAAATGCTTGAGACAAAACTCAGATGCAGAACCTAGTAGCTTAGATTTAAGTCAAGTACCTTTCTGCTCCGCCCATAGCTTCAACCATTTCTTTGCAAAGTTTCATAGGTGGTGGAAAGGGTTTTGGGTCTCGACCGAGAATAAAACCAAAATCAACATGGAAAAGACGGCCATCATCCTGGAGCAGCAAATTATCAAGGTGCCTATGGACCAAGAAGATAAATAGCATAAGAGCTCCATTTTGAATCACAATAAAGATTCACATAGTGCATTTCAGCAATGATGTTAATTTCAGGTTAATTAAGCATTGAATGTCTATTGCAAAATAGCTTTATCACACCGTAAATATAACGGTAAATGGCGACAAACATTATCCCCCAACCCTAAGGAAAAAACAAAAATGATAGCTAAAATAAAAGCAAGGAAAAAATTAGAGTGGCAGCGATTTCAAAACAGATTGGCATACACTAGTATCACCTGTCACCAATGCCCAGTATATATGTGATGACAGAGTAGCCTGCACAACTTTTAATAAATGTTTCAAGACACGTGGCAGTAATCCCGAATGGTCCATCTTCATCAGGATGAAATTTCTGCAGGTAGCTTGTAATACTCCGATGTTCTGAGAGAATCTGAAAGTGAAAAGGAGCAATTTGGAATTGAAATGAAGAAAATGAGAGATGGTGCGTGCGCTCACTAAATATACGTACTTTAAAGAGCAATGGTAAATCAGAAATGAACAGAGGTGAAATATAAGCAGTAACACATCTACCATCACCAGAGTCAATAGATAGTAAATTACCTGAGCTAAAGATTTAGATGGTATGAATTCCAGCATGCCTTCATCATGTCCAGTTGCTAACACTTTGTATGGAGTTAAATGCAGATCGAGGTTCTCCAACTTAAGCAATCGATCCATTAGTGACACCATTTGAATAACCTGATATTATCACGTTATATTTACATAAATGAAAGAATGATTAATTAAATCAACTGTGTAACAAATATCCGGAATCTACCAACTGGTCTTGCCGAAGATCATCTCCCTTTTTAAATATGATCTTGCAACTTCCACCACTTGCTGTTCGGAAAGCCAGACGCAAGGGATGCAATGCACTTTTAAAAATTGACGACTCTGATGGTATGATCCCTGTTATAAGGACTCCAGGTGCTAGAGGGGAACGAATCGGCTGAAAATGTAGATTAACTAGCTTAAATTTCTCAAATGGTAAGGAGATAGGAATGCTTATTTGTAGTCATAAAAATAAAGTAGGCTAGTATGTGAGACATGTCTTCATTTCCAGTTGCTATCGTGCATTTTACACTAGCCAACAAAAGGTGATCCAAGAGCAATACACTAGTAATCTTGCAATTACCTCATCAAAGTAGGTGAGTTCACTAAGAAGCCCCGAAAGAAGATGCCTAAGCTTTTCAATCTTCTTCTGAGTTCCACCTCTCACATTTCTCACGTCTCTCATTATAGAACACAACTGTGCAGTCAATTCTTTTTGACGCTCCAAACTCTGCCATAACTTAAAACCATCTCCATTGCCGTTGGCACCAGTGCCCAACTGTGGAAATGCAAACCCAGTAAGCTGACTTCTTTGAAGCCACGAAAAAAGTAAGATGAACAAGATATACCTTCATGTGAATTGGTATAGTTACAGTATTTCCTTAAAGAAACTGCAGTAGCCATTCGTTATAAACACAACATTCATTAGCTACAAGATTTTATCTCAAACTTGAACACTGCATAACATCCAATATGTTTGAGCAGGAAAAAAAGTATTTCCTCATTCCTGAGGGTTTTATAGAAAAAACCCTTGAAGTCTACTGGCAAGAGTTTAGATTTATCATAAAAAAAGGGACGGTAGTGGACATGTATTATCTGCATAGTACAAAGTAGAAGGCATTTAAAGGGTTTCACTATATCCTGAAAACGTACATGGCATGTTTGATAAGAAGGACTGGATAACATTGGACGGTATCAAGAAAAAAGAAGCTGCTAAAAATTTGTTTATTATGGTGTCGCGTCCTCTCCAATAATGTGTAACAAGAGTAACAAACACGCACTTAAAGAACCATGCTAATATATACACATAAAAACTAATGGGCGGTCTTTGCTTTATCATTTCAGACTTGTCAAACAAGTATATAAAATATAAATGCATAAGTAGCAAATAAAGAAAAAAATTCCCAACCTTCCGCATACTTTCTTGCAGAATCTCATAGGTACAATAAAATCGTTTTGCATATGCAGGATCATGAAGTTCCACTGTAACGTACCATCGAAGAAAGCTAGCCAACTCAATATTGCGTAATGCTGCAAAAATTGAAAAATGATTCAGATGACACTTATAATGAGCTCGAAAACATTACAAACTTGGTTAAAGAATTTGGTCTCTATTACAGGAAGCATACAGCGTTGCACAAGGAAATGACTTAGGCTGGATTTATCGGAACGTTCAAACCGAAGAGCTTGAACCAGCTGAAGTAGGTAACACTGGAGCTCTTCATCATCAGCTCTTTCAAGAACAGTAACAGCATATGCACGGACCTGTAATGGAGGTGAAATTTAGAAACACTCAGTTGGCTTACTAATTTAACAATACTGCAAGATGCTGAACAACAAAGTTTGATTTTGGAAAAACAAGAAACACTCAAGTTGGCTTACTAATTTAACAAAACTGTTTTTGTTTAGTATGTTCGGCAACCAAAGAAAAAAATTGACCATTGATTCTAACAAGAAAACATCTAAATCTACTTTAGCCTGCTTCAACGCAAATACCTTGCAACATGTTATAATATCGACTTTGTCAGCTATTTGCCGAAAATAAAATCTAAATAGAACATTTAGTTTGTCAATGAGAGAAGCACACAGTTGCCAATATGTGTCTTTAATACTAACCTCTTCACTCTCAAAAACTGAAGATAGAAGCTCCAGTGCATCACAAACATCAATTGTCTCCCACTTGCCCATCAGTTCTAACGCCTGCTTTGCTTCCTGAAAATAACACAAATTATTATAATTTTATTTTTTTACCAATAAGTGAGAGATGGAGGATAAAGAAAATGATGCAATACAACTAATGTAATGAGTGTATATTACTGGAAAATTAAAAGCATCACCTAATGGAACCTGCTGGAACTTTACCTGAACATCACTCCATTCAACACAACGCAGAAATTTTGTCAAAGCCCTCTTTTCAGACATCAATGAAAAACGAAATTTCCAGAGATCCTGCTTCTCCTCTCCGCTCAAGGTCCTTGTTGGGGGGTATTTCAATATTCTTTGAATTGACCTAGTACAGAAATAGGATTTCCGATTAGCTAGGATGAAGAATCCCATTAACATAAAGTAATTGCAGTGCTGAATATTATGGCCATTATTTTATTTTTTTTATTTAAAAAACAGATGGAGCTTTTTAAGCACCAATCTGGTCCTTCCAACCCTTCAAAGGCTCTTCTGTTTCATTCAATCCATACCATCGCATAAGAAAGCATGGGACCACCTTTCCCCATTCTTTAGCAGCTTTTTCCAGACATTAATTTAGGTAGTTTTTTTCTTGAATTACGTACATTATAAAGAGTAAGACAGAGTTCGCATATATATATGAATCAGAAATTTGACAATTAGATGCTATATGACACAAAAAGTATCCAGTCGTTTACTTGAGAACTTTTCTCACAAAGAAGAAACAAACAATCAGCATGACGTCTAATCAACCCCCAGGGCCATTGCATCGCATGGCATCTACAAGAATAACAATCTAAACCTTAGTCCCAATAACTTTAAGGGTGATGTGAATCGCTACTCTGTCTGAGTCTAGTGTAGCGAGACATCCAATGAAATCAAATCTTTTACACTATCAGGTTATGGTAATTTTAGTACCTCTCCCTTTATATCCATTCCGTTATCAAACCTGTAATAGTAACTCTTGTAAATGAGAGCTTCTTTAGATCAACACAAAACATGCCCCAATTATATAAATTGTTGTTTCAGTAATTTATCTTCAATGAATGTCACCTTCAATTGTTGGTTTGTTTTCCAATTTCTTAGTTTATCTATTCTAGCTATAGCCATGCATCTATCTTAAGATCCTCATTTTTGTTACATTTCTCTCATGCATGTTATGTCCTTCACAGGTAGCGAATTATTTAGAGTGTGATGAAGCTTAGGCCTCTACTGATTGAGGCGCAAGCCTCTCAGTGAGAGCCTCTCATTGTTTAAAGTGTTTCGGATTCCAGGCCCACTATTTATTGAAAAATTAACTATTTTTTGTTTGACCAGCTTCGGAAGTCAAACTCGTGCTGGTTATTAATTAGTCAGCCATAAATGATACTACATTATATATTATAAGTTATAACTAACTCAAACATAAACACAACACGTAAAGCTTTCACACCGTAGAACTGTTCACCAGCGATTCAATTTGCAGCTTCAGGTTTCTTTTCTTTTTTCTGATTTTAGTTTCTTCTCTTTATCCTTTTTCGGGTTGCTTCTTCTCCTGGCTGATCAACTATTTTGTCTTATCTTCTCCTTTCTTCTTCCTTTTTACTTATTGTTTAGAAGAAAAACATGTGGAACCTATGATAGATACATGATACATGCATGAACTAACTAAATGACAGATTAATTGATTTTACAATTAAATTTAATCATTATTGGAAAAAATAAAACAGACTTGAGATGGAATTCGAAATATGTTATGATTCTATTGCAATTCCCAGAATTGTTAATTTCATATTTTTGTGGTTCAGGGTGAGACTTATGCCTCAAAGCACCTCGAGGCTTAAGCCTAGCCTGACAAGTAAAAATGCCTTAGTACCTGAATTCGCATTTTTAAACACAGTGCAAAAGAGTTCTATTAAAGTTCTAACTTACCATTCATCCCCTTCTAATCATGCCAACTATAAGTCTATAACCATGTCAGCAGCGATTAACATACATCTCATGATTAAAGTAAAATAATTAAGACTCTAGACAGAACCTTGAAACAGGCCTATATCTGCCTCCACTAAATCTCACACCCATGACTGGTGCCTTACATACATCCTTGATATTATACAAATACTAAAAAGAAATTCCATTTTTCTCTGCATCTCGTGTGCATCCAATAAATAATACAATTCCACAACAAAAGTAAACTTACAACAGTGTTAAAACAAAAGCTTACTTCCTTTCTGTAGAGTTCGGTTTGAGGTCTCTGTCAATGATGCCCCGTGTCAAACTCCTAGCCAACTTTAGTTGCTTGTTCTCTGAGGGGTTACTTTTTCCCACTTCAGGATCCCAAACCGTAACCAGTTCATTTGTGGAAGCTATAGGAGATGGTATTAGGAAATTTGCTCCTGATTCCTAAATATCAAGTAATCTATTTTTAATTCTGGATGGATCAAATCTAGCAATTAGAAAAAGAAAATATATTCCTATTTCAATAACAATTCAGTTACGAATTCAACATAAGATATTGTGCACAATGCAAAAAAGTTTTCACAATATATTTATTGCGAGAACATCCAACAGATATCAACCTTAGATACATAAAATTATGACTCAATCAAATTATCGTATTAAGATTCTTAATTATGCTTTAATCAAATCAAATTTGCACACTTGGAGAAGGAAAAATCTTGCACACGGCATTTAACTTTAGCAAACTTCATAAAGCCATGACCTTTTTAAAGTCAGTACTGTCATTTCTAGTGGTAGTGTCATCACATACTATGCAATTATGGTCCACTCCAAATGCTCAAACTTATGAAAACCGCCTACAGAAAGGAGGCTAAAGATAGTTGATTATATGTTCTATAATGTTAAGCAACATTATAATACATCCAATCTACACAACCGCTAAAAAGCATGTACTCCACTCTACTATAGAGACCTAAAACTGTACAGGCCAAACACCCTCACTTTATTTACCCCATATCGGTAAAAATAACTCATAAAAATCCATCTATGAGGACAGTGTTAATTGATGTTTTACTGAAAAGGCAATTCATAAGGAAAAGATTGTTACATGAGAACAATTCGATGCAGACTTTGAATGTCCATATCTAGAGGAAGATCATACTATTTTAGCAATTATAATAATGTGTTTTCTGTTAGCGCTATTGATATGTTTCATGAGAAATCGGATGACACTAGTTTTTATTTAGACAAGATATGAAGTAATATGATTTCTGAGAACTACTCAAATTCCCTGGAGCCTATGTAATTTTCAGAGTCTTGAGAAGATAAATAGTAATGCAAACATGTAAAGAAGTACCTGGAACGCCACTCGATGTTCAAAACTGCAGAAATCAACAACAATATATACATGAGAACTTCCATTTTTAATACTCTCACATTCCTTGATTTTCTCCATAGCCTTGAATGCAAGACGATCAAGCCAATCAACTCTTTGAATCTGTCCCCTCTCATACCTATTTTGTAGCTTTTCCAGACGTTCCAACTCCCCACGCTCCTCCTTTGGAACCTATCACAAACCACCAGTGCACAATCAATTCATTTTACTATATTTTTGCTTCATACTTTTGGGGCTTTCGAATTGGAATTGTTAAAATTAATTTTGATCCCATTCCTCATTCCAATTTCATCCTCCATAAGTAGCACAAGACAGTGGGATATCTTTTGAATGCATATAGTTTCACTCCATGGAATTTTAGATTAAAGAAAAAAAAAAGCAAAAAAACACCTTTCCGGGAGTGATTGTATTGATAGAACCATCCGCTTCTTTCCCTGACCAAAGTCTAAGCTTGTGCTTACCAGTCTTAAGCTTTTTTTTCATGTTAAACAGATGAATGGTCGCCCCACCAACCACTTCGTCACTCTTACCACAAGAAACATCATAAACCTACATTCACACATCATCATCAACATAAAACAGAAGTTCACCACGAAAAAATGTACATGATTTTATACAACAAATAAAAGCCTTGCTCTTATAATTTCAATACAGCATACACAAGCAGATTATTTACAAAAAATAACAAGCAGATTCCAAAAATATGATGTACGACATACGGTGACCGCGAGTTGTGAATTTGCAGTCAAATCACGATATTTAGTACTTAATGTAATTAGTTCGTTCCAGCAATATGATGGACCTGAAGATTCCAGCCTGCATTACGAGATTTTCACAAAATATTAATCAAACCCAGATTTCAAGAAAAAAAAGAACCTGCAAAATTATAAAAATAAAATCAACTGACATAATATTAAAACTGAACCTTGTTCTCATGGGAAGACCAAAAGGCGCGCCATCGATGTACAACAAGCACTCAACGTACAACTCCGGTCTTCTCTCCTCTGAAGCAGAATCAACATCATCTGAATAACAGAAGCACAAATATTCCTGAACATTTTTACATAATAAACAGTGAACTCCAACCCAAAAGGCAAAAATAATGATCTTTTTTTCCACAATTACCTGAATTAAGGAGCTTTTGCGGCGGTAATTTGCCTTCTAATCTTTCAATTCGGAAAGTGACGGGGAGATTGATGTCGCAGGATAAAAAAAATCGGAACTCGTTTCCAGTCATTCTGGCTTATAATTATTATCCAAAATAAGTAATTCTGAATCTCTACGTGAAGATGAGAGTTTAGAAATTGAACGGTGGAAAATTCGTTGATTGAACTTGCACCATTGCAGTTCCCTTTTGTGAATAATTCTAGTGGGTTTTGTGAGTTAAATAGTCATTCACTAAAATTTGACTTTGGTTACCATTTCACAGGGGAATTGAAAACTTGGATCGTCTGTGGTTCGATACGAAAAAAGTTCGAACCGGCCCGAATCACAGCTCTATTCTACCGAGCCCAAGCCTGCCCACACGGGCCGGGACTATTTTCAGCCCGAAATGAGCCTAAAAAATTAAAATTTGAAGTTAAGCAGCTGCAAGCTGCTGTGTCAGTAGTAGCAGGCAGCTACAAGCTGCTTGACATAGGCAGCAAGTCACTACCTTTGCCCAAAAAATTTTTAAGTCGGATCGATTTTGTCTAATAAGATCCGAGCTGAAAGATCTAAGTGGAGCCTAGATATATTAGTCGAGCAGTTTTTACTTGAGCCAAGTCTTGAGTTTCGACTTGACTCGTTCACATCCCTACAATTTTCTCGTCCAGAAATAGAAAGTTACCAATTGCTCTTCTACTTTTAAATAAAGCAACTCATCCATTACCCATTCAAAATCCATCTGTCTACATGGACAAAAAAATTCCATGTAGCAAACAGATGTTAAAATTTTTGACAGCTTGGACCAAAATGTAAAAGTAATGCTATTCATCTCTATTGGGACTGGAGCACCAATTTAGATGGCAATTCTTCATAGGTTTAACTAAATGAATCATGTGACAATACATTTAAGTGAATCTATCGTTTAATGATATGTGGTTGTTACCCAAATTAGTGTTTAACCCCAATAAAAATTAATATCATTACTCAAAATTCAATTGATCAAAATAGCTTTTTTCTTCCAAATTTTCAATTCTCCCAAAATTAGACCCAAATCAATTTTATCTTCATTACATTATTCAATTTTCTTAAAAGACAAGTGAAAGAGTACAACATAGCAAAGAACCCCCATTGAGCTCAAATTGAATGGTGCAACTCTCCAAATGCCACTGTTTACACCACCACACATCATAAAAAAAAACAACAGTCATTTTTTTTCTTGGTAAATGTATAAGTAAATTGGATATACCGGGGCAAACCACAAAGATGTACAAATGATAAGATCTAAGGACTCAAAGTTAGAGACTCAAAAAGAATCAAAATATGAGGATACAAAGAAAACATAACTTTGTATACATGTATTTTAATCCGTCTCAATATACTATAAGAATGTGGCTTGAGATCTTCAAAAATCTTCGTATTTCTTGCCACCCGTAAGTGGTAAACGGTGCTAGCAAGTGCCACCCTCTTGGTTTTGCTATGCCAAGATGTTCCTCTAGCCTCCTTTTTAATCCATTTTAATGTGTTTGTAATCGTTGAAATAGATCACCTGATACATAACAACTTCCTATTTTTTTCCCCTACCATAGATGTGAATGAGCAATTAAAGAAGAGGTGTTGACTGGTTTCAGTAGCATTTCCAAAAAAACATAGTTACAATCAATAACCATGTGTAGTAACTTATCTTTGGTAAGTTGTTTGGACTAAGTGCACAACCAAAACATAAAAGAGTGTTTTGGTCTGATGAAAGACCTCCAAATATCAGCTGCCTAGTTCTTTACATTTTCCCTCATCCTGAAGAATTCATAAGCCTTAGTTGTGCAATAATTTTCTACATCTGTCCATGCAGTCAACCTGATCGCAGCATCTTGTACTGCCGTTTCCATCATAGCTGCCTAACCGGCTTGCACAGCAACAACAAACTATCACATACGTCCCTGATCTCTAGCAATTTTTTAAATAGCGACGAGTCTTCTTTCTTTGGCAAAACTTCCCAAATACTTGCCCCCTTTAGATAAAATTGATTTACCCAACCTATTGGAAGAGTTTCCTTATTTTGATGAATGTTCCAAAGTGATTTTGCAAGTAATGCTGAATTCCAACTTTTCACATCTCTAAAACCATTTTTTTGTAGACAAGCATTCCTCCAAGCCACCAATGGCTTCTTAGATCCCCAAAGAAAATTACAACATAGGCTAATGATTCTTGAGAAGATAGTGCCGGGATAAAAAATAAATAGGAAGCCAAAAATATTCAACTCCTTGGAGCACTGCTTGTATTAATTTCGCCCTTCCCGCATAAGACAATAACTTACAAGTCCAAGCACTAATGCAAGCTGCAATTTTGTCAAATATGGCATAACAACTAACTTTAAGCTTCTTGGATGCTAGTGGAATGCCCGAATACCGGAATGGCATAGTATTCTTCGGGATATTAGTAAGTTCTTGCCCATGAATTCTAGATGTAAAAAAGTTGGATTTTAAGGTATTCATCCCTAGACCCGATGTATTTCCGAAGTTGGATAAACAATCCATTAAGATTTGCACCGACATATTATCTCCCCTTGCAAAGAGTATTAAATCATCCTCGGATTCTAAATGAGTAATCTTTAAGGGGTCACATTTTGGATTATAATTAAATTTACTATCGTTGGAGGCCGCCTTAATCATTCTTGAAAAATATTCAAGACATAAAACAAACAAAAGGGGGGGAAAGATGATCACCTTGTCGGAGTCATTTCATTCCCTTAAAGAACCCATGTATGCTCCCATTCAAAACAACGAAGTATGTTGGTGTAGTAACACATTCCATAACCCATTCAACAAATCTTGTAGGAAAACACAACCCCTCAAGTACCTCTTTAAGGAAATCCCAACTAACCGAGTCATAAGCCTTCCTTAGATCAATCTTTTGAAGACATCTAGGAGCAACTCTTTTTTTATTATATTGTCTCATTAGTTCTTAGGCAAGATGGATGTTCTCCATCATACTCCTACTTTCAACAAAAGCAGCTTTCACTTGATCAACAATGCTCCTAAAATAGGCTTCAATCTAAAAGCAAGGATCTTAGTAATTACCTTGTAGAATATATTGCAACAAGAGATCGGTTTATAATCCCAGACATTCAGTGTATAACTAGACTTCGATACCAAAGTGAGGACTGTGTGATTAATATGTTTGAGGAGAGATCTTGATGAGAAGAATTCTTTGATAGCCTCCTCAAAATCATTTTCAACAATCCCCCATAAAAAGCACGATATGTAACCATCCAGTTCGGGAGATTTATCATCTCCAATAACAAAGAGTGCTTCCTTGATTTCTTGGCTAGAAATGTCCCCAGTAAGTGAGTTACCTTGTTCCAACGATACCAAAGGCCCATTCCTCAAAATTTCTAGCTTAATGGCCTAAACCTGGCAGCTCGTTCCAAGTAAGTTACTGTAAAATAGGATAAATTCCTGAGCAGCTTGATTTTGTGAAGTGTTGTGCACCCTATCTTCTTTAAGTACGACAGCAATAAAGTTCCTTTTTGTGTTCCTCTTCACCACCGAATGAAAAAATTTGGTACACTTGTCACTATTCTTAAGGAAATTACACTTTGCTTGTTGATAATAAAAGCTCCGTTCCGCTTCACATAAACTCGTGGCTTTCTTCCTCAATTATGCCACCATAAGTTGGTATTGTGTGTTAGCGGGCTGATCATGAAGCTTTTGTTGGATAGCCTCCAACTCTCTCTTATCATTGTTAGCCCTAGTAGAAATGTGTTTAATGAGTTTGGAATTAAGCTCCTTCAATGCTCATTTCAAATCATGCAACTTCTTGCAAATCACAATTTTTGTCCCCACAATATCAAAATTTCAACATGTTTGTACAAGTCCATGGAAATTCTTATGATTAGTCCATATGCTAAAAAAATCCAAATGGCTTCCTTGTGCTCTCACCTCTTTCAAAACTAGATACAATACACGGAAAATTGTCGAAAAGGCATCCCAAAGGCAAAAATTCAGCTAAGCCATATGCATCATTTTGCTCCCAAACATCATTCGCCATTGCTCTATCAATTTTGCTCCAAACCGAATTATTAGTCCATGTGTAAGAATAACAAATGGATTGCACTTCCATAAGACCAACATGCAGGCAACGATTAGCAAAGTCTTGATTTCATATGTGGTAACCTCTATTCCATTGCTCTTCTCATCATATTTATGTACGTTGTTAAAATCTACAAGAATCATCCAAGGCAATGTTAGAGCTAAAATCCATAATGTTATGCCAAGGTGGATTCCAGCTAACAATTGTACGTAACTTATAAATAAAACTAACATGAAATATATAGGAGGTTACCTTACAAATAGGATGCAATGGATAACTTGCGATATAGTTTCCAGCACTTCCAATTTGACTTTCAAAGGATTCCACAAAACCAAAATCCGTTAGGCTCGATGAGTGAGAAAATTGTTCACTTGCAACAATCTGTCAAATTTGTTCCGCATAACTCGATCAAACTTTGGTTCCCCAAGTTTAATCTCCAAAATACACATTACATAAATATTGTGTCCTTTGATGAAGTTTCGAACCCCATTTTGTCTTATGGGTAGGTTCAAACCCCTAATATTTCAAGAGGCGGTCTTCATAATAAAGCAAGGAAAATTCTCTTCCTCTTATCATTAGCGGCCACAACTTTCCTTTGTTCCTCTTCACTTTCAAATTTTCATCCCAATTAGAAAATCCTTCCACCGCCAATTTAGTTAAATGATTTGCCTCTATTCGAATTGGAGTTATATGCCTACTGTGCTGTCCCTTAATGAAGCACATTTTTCTTGTTAACTACCTAAATGAATTGTCCATCATTATGCTCTTCCTACTGGTTTTCCTATGAGTTAACCTGAGTTTCAGCATTATGTGTGTCCATTCCAGTTTGTATCGACATTTCATGTTCATCCTCCTATTCTTGTCCTCTATTGTCTACTGCAGTTTGCCTAGCCTGCATGTTCATCTCTTATACAGCCAACATGGAAGCTTTCAATATATCGTGTAGGGAAAATAATAAGCAAATTGACCGGCCCAATCCCACACCACCAAGCCCAAGTGAGGTGC